AACCATCGAGAAATCATTTCATGACTTGACTGGTTCATTATGCTTGCTATCACTGATCTGATTCATTTCCGCAACCGATTGGTAATTCATTCAGAAATTATTGGTTCTACATTTTTTGAAGAAAACTTAATAGGCGATCTTGTGCTCTAACTTGCTTGAAGGTTAGATAGGTAGATCTACACTTATGAGCCACTAACTTTGGAAACGAATTGAATCTAGTTTCTCAACGAAGCCGATTACTTCATTGGGTGGGTGATATTTAAGGTCAGCTAGCAAAACATTTAGTGGAAGATATTTCAGGTCAACTAGCAAGATTGTGACTCTGACAAAATGCTGAAAACCTCATCCGGTCCGAGGTTCCACACTAAAATCCACAATGCCGAAAATTACTTTTTGACAGTCTTGTTAGAAGATTGCTCATGTTCAACCTATTCCCAACAAGGGCATGAAAAATCTTCAAAATAACTATAAACCAGTCGCTTCGCTATCAGTGATTTCAAAAATCATGTAGAAAGTCGTAAACCACCATATTCTCAGATATTTGGGGGGCTTCAACATCTTGGCTTTCAGAAACAGAGATCAATAGGCGACCTCCATCGTATGCCACCCATATTTGGAATAACGCAATCGAGAAACATGGAGAATCAAGAGCTGTTGCGCTTGATATTTCTAAAGCCTTTGACCGTATGTGTCATGAGGGTTTGCTGGCCAAACTTCGATACCATAGCATATTGGATCATTTTTGTGTATGGCTCTTCAGCTTCCTGAAAGAACGTTCCTTGCAAGTGGCTGTCGATGGATATCTCTCAAATACCTTTATCATCAACGCTGATGTTCCCCAGTGATTCATATTGTCTCCAACCCTCTTTTTATTGTATATCAACGACTTATTGGAAAAAATCAAGAATCCAATATATTGCTTTGCTGACGACAGCACACTTGTCTCGTCATTCCAGGACATCGGCTACGGAGGCACATCTTCACCGGAGCAGGAGGTTGCATATCTTGATGAGGATCTAGAAGTGATTTCCAATTGAGGTGACCAGGTTCATTTCAATGCCACAAAAACTCAGGCATCGATTTTCTCCAAGAAGATAAATGTCTCCGAACCAGATATAATTCCGCTTTCTGCTTCGATAAGTTTGTTGGGGGTTAAAATAGACACCAATATGTCTTGTCACAATCATGTCGCTGGCATTGCAAAGGCTGTTCCTCAAAAACTTGGAACACTGTTCCGCACTAGGAAACTGTACACACCTCAGCAACTTTTGATGCTTTATGAAGCTCAGATCAGACCTTCTTTGGAGTATTGTTCACATGTATGGAGCTCTGCCCCCAAACATACCCTGAAGCTGCTGGATCCCATCCAGAAAAGAGCCATACGCCTGATTGGAGACGCAAACATCACTTGCAACTTTATTAGTCTGGAATATCGAAGAAAGGTTGGAGATTTGTCTCTCTTCTATAGATACTTTCACGGGAAGTGTTCAAGTGACTTGGCATATTTGATTTCACCAAGAGCGGTATATATCAGACGGATTGTGGCTGCTCATCGTTTTGAGGTTCAACTCAGTACCCTCCGAACTTCACTGTTTAAGAACTCTTTCATCTGGAAAACTGCGTTTATGTGGAATAATCTTCCTGATAACTTTTTTCCAAATGGATTGAATCTTCAGCGATTCAATTCCAATGTGAATCGCTTCTTTCGTATAGGCACCGCTCTGAGAGCGCCTTCAGGATTTTTCTGTAGTGCTTTTTTTGTAGTGGTAAATTATCATCAGTGGATATTCAAGCATGTTGAATCTGAATATAGAACCTAACATAACACAACTTTCTGGCGTCAATACAAAACAAATATTGATTTTCGGCTGAAATGAAATATTTTAGCAAGTTACCAAACTCTCCAAAATTGATATTTGTCGCATTTTGAACAAAAGACATACAGGGTTAGCCAATGAGAGTGGACACACTGTATAGTATCTTGTAGATTCACGCACAAATAACCACCCCCATTCACACATTTCTACAGATTCACAACTCTATACAAACTTCTAGGTAATGACGATCTTACATTCTAGATTACTGTCAACTTCACCCCAACCAACCCCTTTGACCTTCGATTTTTGAAAAATTAGTCAATTTTTGCTCTTGATCCCACTGAGACTTCTGGCGAGAATATAATTTGAATTTCAGTCAAATGGACTTTTTTTTTATTTTCATATTTCGAAACCTCTCACATAATATGTGATACAATGTGGAGACCTGCATTCATTCACTTCGAGCTATCTGATATTTTCATTCAGTATAATATTCCAAAAGCCATTCCATTCAATACAGAAATTGCGAAATAAATCGATTATCTCATAATATATTACATTGCTGCTTCTGGATGTATTACAGAAAGAGAGGTTTTCAGTATTCCAGACAAATCGTCAGGTGTAGGTTCTCTAAGAGAGTTCATTCCGTTGAAATTTAATAAAGTTTCTCGCATATCCCGGCATATTGAAAAATAAATCCAATTTCCTGACAACTTGTGGCTTTTTCACTCTAATTCTAAATTGTTCAGTTCGTTCCTATTAAGGGGTGGAAATAGACGTAGCGATGATAATTGCATTGACAGAATTGTAGATGGAAATATACCATTGCAGTATTTAGTATAATTTGAATGTGTAGAACTTCTCATTGAAACATATATCATGAAATACGCTGTTTATATAGTACCTTCCCAAGTATAAAGGAATGATGTATAAAAAAATTTGATTTTTTATTATAAACAAAAATACATAATTCATAAACATATATCCCAACAACCGTAAGAAGTTTCAGGTTTTTTGAAAGAGATCCTGCATGACTCTCTCCATCCAAGTTTAGCAATTATTCGAACTGCCGACTTTTGTAATATGAAAATCCTTTCCACGGACGATCCCGTTCCCCAATTCAAAATCCCGTATCGCAAATGACAATGAATAGTGGCATAGTACAGACTCAACAAGATTTCAGCATTACAGTAGGTAGACAAGAATCTTAACGCATAACAATTTTTACGTAGCTATTCACAAAGTGAGTCGATGTGTGGTATCCAGGTGAGTCTGAACTGAAAATCTCGGACTCATTTGTAACCATAGTAAATTTCATTAGCACAGTTTCAGTTATATTGAGTTTCAGGTGATTTTTACCTGCCCATGTTATGAAATTTGTATCATCCGCATATGTTACCACGTGTACTGATGAAAGTTGTTGGAAATAGTGGAACAAGTCATTCGCAAAAATGTTTGAAGAGAAGTGGTCCGAGTGTAGATCCTTGAAGGACACCTTGCTTTATTTTCAGTGGTTCACTCACAGTGACGTCAGCAATAACTCGTTGAATTCTGCCTTGGAGATATGATTTAATTAATTTGTGAGCAGTCCCTCTCACGATATATCGTTCCAATTTTTGTAGCAGTAGCTCATGGTTCACGGTGTCGAAAGCTCTTGAAAAATCTATAAATAAGCCACAAATGTGTAATTTGCAACCAACAGCATTTATAATGTGTTCACTGAAATCACATAGAGCTGTTTCTGTTCTCTTATTCCTTGTGAATCCATGTTGGTTTGATGAGAGAATGTTATTCATAGAAAGGGAGGAAATTAATTGATTTTTGATATTCAACTCAAATACTTTTGATATACTAGAAAGCAAACTAATGCCCCTATAGTTTTCATACAAATTTTCATCACCCTTTTCATAAATTGGTACAACATTAGCAATTTCCAGTTTGTCAGGAAACATTTCATATTCTAGTGGTTAATGATGGTTAATGATGTGATGCACCGGATATGATAACTCATGAGCACATTTTTTTAAGAACTTGTTTCAAATTTTTTCACAACCACTTGCTCCCGAGTTTTTTAGTGTTTTTATCAAATCAATTATGTCAAATTCACTAATGGGATGCATAAAAAAGGAGTTTTGGCAGATGGGAACATTATTTTCCATAAATTTAATGTCTATCTCATCATGACACTTCATAGGGGAAAAAAGGGCATTGAAATTATCAGCCATCTCGATTTTTGATATCTCAACATTACCATCATTTATTTCAATATTATTGTTCCGTTTGTCATTTTTCCTGAGATGGTTAATCATCTAGCACATTGTTTTCGACTTATTTTTGGATTTTGCTATTATATGATCAACATGGCGTTTATGATTTTCCTTCAATTCTTTCCTATATATTTGTGCGAGATGCTTGCTCACAGTTTTATAGCGATCATCTTCCCTGGCACACTCTGAATAAAGTGAAACCAAGCCTTTGAGTTCTTGAGTGATAATACTTTGCATACAACATACCTACAATAGTTTCAGAAAAAAAAATGTGGAAAAACGAAATTTAGGTCAATATTATAATAATACCCAAATAAACTTCTCATTTTTCGTTTAGAATGTATTTTTTGGAATTTGAGTTGACATCATATAATGTAACAAGATTCCTGTGACCCAAATAGTAATTCGGTTCATCAATATTAGGAAAGAAATTAAATGCTGAAATCAATAATAATAAGACGATCTGCTACAAACCAAGTTCCAACATCGACCGTCGAAGATGTATCGGTCTTTCTCTGCAGTTTTAACAGCATACTAGTTGATACCAAAGCCCATGAATGAAGAGTTGGTAATGCAACACCAAGAAACGCTGTTTCGACAAGCCAAAGGTCCCATAAGTTGTACTTGGCTGAACCACAAATGTATCACTGGACTCAACTTGTTCGTTGGATTGAGATCTAATAGATGGCGTTTCCGTAAGGAAAATGTTAACGCTTACTTGAATTCAGGATCATCTTTTAGAAACAGTTGTGTCCAACATTGCATTCGTGGTTCAACTTAGCACCACGAATGAGACCCGCTTCACGGGTCGGAACAGTGTTTTTGATGTTGGATCACGAATGCTTTGTTTTTTTCGGCTCTGGCGTCAACTGGGGGTTGGAGTATTCTGATATGATTCATGAATTAACAGACAATGAAGTAGTCGTATTCAATTTATGTCTTTTTCGAATTTTTGGTTCACAAAATATTACAATAGAAGAATGATGGCATTTGGCACGAAATATCGTCAATTTCAATTATTTCAAATTTTCCCACTCTTCTTTACAACGTTCTGCACTCATTAACAGCTTCTTCACCTACTCGTTGTTTATCGAATCGAAATATCACATATGATGAGCGATTATCTATTTTCCACTTTAACGCATTCGCACTTTCTTGATCATCTGAAGAACTTGCAATCCAGGAAAGGGACAGGTGGGGTAGAAGTTGAAGCAGCCATTTCCATCGATACCATTTATGAGTTGGCCCATATGGGCAGCAAAATGATATTTGGAAGTCACTTCGGCTGTGGTACTGATTGTGGTGTCCCTGAAAAAAATTGAACAGTAGAGCTGAAGAAAAAGTAAATTTAATTGTTTTGTTCGGATTTATAACAACAAATATATTTCGTATTGAAACTTTTTTCCGAGTTTGTTGGTCTGTAAGTTTCTATAGTCGACGTTTCGTCTACGACTGCGGTAGACACTATCAAAGTCAACGGGGTCATATAGTAAGTATCAGAACGTCAGGTTATTTTGCAGAACGCAAAATTGTATTACAGAAATAGTTTTTTATGGGCTAACTTGAAGTTGTGAATTTTATTTTTACCACTGTTTTTAAACAACTATTTTGAATAACCATAACTATCATTACTTTCTGAATAAAAAACACTCTGTTCCTTGTGCCCTACATTGTCCAAGAGAACGAGTTGGTTGATTGTTCCAATATTGAAGGGTTACATTTAATATCTCATATCACCCAGCACAGTGGCGTATTTCCATAGATGCTTCAAAAAGAAGCCTCAAAGCAGTTCTGCTTCACAATGGCGGTTTCTATGCTTCCATTCTTGTAGGTCATTCCGTACACCCCAATGAAACCTACAAGAATCTGGAATTGATTCTTCGCAAATCAAAATATAAAGACCACGATTGGCAAGTGTGCGGTGATTAAAAAATCTTGGGCATGTTGCTCGGACAACAATCGGAGTTTACCAAATTCCTTTGCATTTTGTGTCTGTGGGATAGTAGAGGCCGAGCAAATCACTGGACCAAAAAGGGTTTGCCTCCGAGAAAGCTGAACGTTGGTGAAAAGAACGTCCTGCATGAAACTTTGGTGCCTCTCCATGAATTCCTTCTACCACCGCTTCACATAAAGCTGGAAATTGTTTCAAATACTTGATATCAAATCCAGGCCTTTCAGAGGCGCAGTTAAAGGTAGGTGTTTTCGTTGGACCACTTAGACGACTTATGTCTGATCCACAATTCATGACAATCATGATGGACTCTTGTAGAGATGGATGGATTCTCTTTAAAAAGAACATAGAGATATTTTTAGGTAATAAAAAAGACCCCTACTACAAAGAAATCGTCAAAAGAGTGTTAAAATCATTTCAAGCTTTAGGTTGCCTAATGAGTTTGAAAGTATATTTTCTTCATTCCCATCACGACTACTTTCCAGAAAATTTGAGAGATGTGATTGAAGGACAAGGTGAATGAATTTCCCAATATATTGAGGAGATGTAAAAAAGATACCAGGGAAGACGGAGTATCTCAGTGATGGCAGGCTACTGTTGGACGCTTCAAAGAGACCTTCCAGATGCTTCCTACAAACGAAAATGTACCAAAAGAAATCTCCCTGGAAAAAAGAAATGTGTTTAGTGCTTACTACTGAATGTAGTAAGCACTAAACATATATAAATATAAAAAAAATGTTGTCTTTTATGTTTTATTTCAAGATGATGACTTGCTAAATATAGATACCTACTTTGTCAGAAAACATCACGTGTTTTGAGAAATGGAAGTCATTTTCGGATTTAGCACTCCCGAAAACATAAGGATTACGCAAAAAACAAAACAGCTCTCATTATTTAGTTTTTTGTAGTCTTGTACATGGAATGAATTCATTATATATTATATTTTTCATCATCAATACTGAATATTATGAAGAAATGACTTCTAATTTAGAGAAACAGAGTGTTTCTCAATTCAACAGATTGCATGATTGAAGATCAATTCAAGTGAAATATAATATAAAAGTACGAATATAGAATTCAAATTGAACTAATCTCAGTATTATACGTTTTATTAGTGGATACATAATAATGATATATTGAGATAACTGTCAATTCTGAATTTAATATCATGGACAAAATAAAAAGCTTCGTTTCCGAATGTATTTCCAAAGGCCAGAAATCATAAATTCAACAATGAACTCATGGACAAATTCAGAACTGCCTCCCAAAATGGTGTGCAGATAGATTTAGCAGATGGCAAAGAAAGACTTGGAGAAGACTAAAGGGGTTGTGAACTCATTTCAAAAGTCACAGAAACCAGACGTAGTTTGAAAAGTATTGCTACAAAGAGACAAAAACACTAGGTACTTTAAAAACGGTGAAATCTTCAGAGCGAGTTAGGATCTGGGATCAGCACTTTAATCATGAACGATATTGATTAGGGCCAGTTTCATTTCTTAACCTGGAGAAAACAGACGATATAGACCACATCGAATAAGGATTTCAAGCACATGCATTTTTTCTTTGTTGGCTACACTGTATATTTGGTGTAAGTGTCAGTTGTCATATGTGGATGGTGTTGATGTTTGTATTGTCCATTTTTGAGTTGTGTTTGCTGTTTTGGAAGTTGTTTTGATTGTATTCATTTTATCATCCATATCAATGGGAATTTTGTTTTTTTTGTTATCAGTTGTTAATTTAGCTATTGTGTATTTGTTATTAGTATCAAGTTGTCATATGTTGTTGGTGTAAAATTGTCTCTTTTTCAGTATTATATGCTGTTTTCATCGTAATAATTTTAAATGTAGTTTTTCCAACAGTTAGTTGTAGTAATGTTGTGAACAATTATTATGACAACTACCCTTTTATGTCCTTTGAAATTTCTCTCATGTTGAAGTTTAGTATATTACTGGAGTTTTTTTCCAACACCAAACCGTTATTTTAACACCTTGACACGTGTTTCGATCCAACTTACTCAGTTAGTTTGATCTTCCTCTTGAAGATGATCACTTGGTGATCGAAACACGTGTCGAGTTGTTGAAATAACAGTTTGGTGTTTGAAAAAAACTCAAATAATATTCATTACTACACCAAAGGTTCCAAACAGTGCGTCACACGTTGAAGTTTAGTATTCATATTATAAAAATATACGTCAGAATAACCTACTTGAGCAGAGACAATAAGGACCTCTCAGATTCTGTCAGTTTCTCTCTTTGGGTTGAGGCAGTCAATTCACAGATAAGTTTTGGTAAGCAGGCTTTTTTGATTGTCTTCAGAATCTTCGCCCTAGTCGCATGGTATCCTGTAAAAAATCGTTTCAAATGTTATTTGGAGCTCAGCAGTAATGACTAATGACAGCTTTTCAATGATTTATAAGAAAATAATGACAACTAAAGAAAAGCCTAACTGAGATTTTACATATTTAGGATACTCAAGGAGGATATGATGAACAGAAACCCGTAGAACTGCAGTTTGTAAATATGAAACATTTTCATTATGAGTCTCTAATGTAGGCCATTGCGTTTATTAGAAAAGTCTGGACGTGAAGGTTTTGGTTTTGCCGTCCGTTGTGTGGGCTGTTTCTTTCAGGAATCATATTTGAGAAAATGAAGTCACTCGACGTGAATAAGGGTGCTGGGATCGATGGTTACCCTACATATTTCGTTAAAAACTACGCCTCTTGTCTATGAGTATCTTATTCGGTCTGGTACTTTCCCAGAGATTTGGAAAACTGCTCTCCTGGTCCCGATTTATAAAAACTCTGGTAATAGAAACTCAGTAATGAATTATCGAGGTATCAGTAAACTCTTCATTTTCAGCAAATTACTTGAAGAAATCATAGAATTCCAGTATGGTTTTTTCTCCAAATTTATTAATATATGCCAACTATATTTCGAATGCATTGGACAATCGAGCACAGGTGGAGTCACTGTTTACTGATTTCATTAAGGCATTTAATAAACTTGACCATAACCTTCTTATTTAAAAACTTGCTGAAATCGGTATACAGCGAGATCTCTTCAGATGGCTTTCATCTCACCTTCACAATCTCAGTCAGATAGTGAGCCTAAATTGATACAGATCTACTCCATTTGTGGTGACCTAGGGAGTCCCTCAAGGTTCACATCTGGGTTCGTTAATGTTTCTAGTATTTATAAATGATTTGAAAGATTGCTTCAAGCATTCACATGTACTATTATATGATGATGACTTGAAAATCTTCAGAATAGTAACGACGATTAGAGATTGCTCAAAAATTCAAGAATACCTCGATGCTTTTTTAGAATACTGTAACCTCAATAAATTGAAACTTGACACTAATAATTGTGTATGTATATCATTTTCAATACTCCCTGGGCAATAATATTATTATCAGAGTAGACCAAATGAAAGATCTTGGAATCTATTTTGATACAAAAATGACTTTCAATCCCCATTTGGATTATGTAGTAAATTCCTGCAGCAAAAGCTTGAGATTTTTCTGCAAAATATGTAAAGACTTTAACAACGAGGCAGCAATTAAATGTATTTGCATTTGTTTACAGTAAACTTATTTTTGGAAATGTCATATGGAACCCAGATTATAATACACATAAATTACGTTTAGAAAGACTCCAGAACAGATTTGTGAGGTTCTTGCACTTCAAAATAACGAAGACTTATGTAACACTTGGCATAACTGAAATTCGATCTCACTGAATAATACAGCTTCTAGAACAACGAAAAATAATAAACGACTTGATTTTTATTTATAAAATCATAATAAACTGTTATGACTCAACCTATCTAGTATCAGTGATTTTTCATCACATTCCTCAAAGGAACAGTAGAAACAGAAAATGGGAATGTTCTTCAATTTGGGTTATTACAGCAAATGCAAGTTTGAACAAAATAAAGTTGAGTTTAATTCATGAGTTTTTCAAATTCACTTGAAAAGTATTCAAATTGATTTTCAAATGTTGAGTTTTAATTTTTAAAGGGATTTGTTTCTAGTTCACATATTGGCAATAGCGCCTATATCAAGTTAAAATAATTTATACGTACCCAGATATTCTACTTTAAAAAAGGAAAATTATCTTTGTAAATCAACAATTAAGGAAAAATATAAATTATAGTTCAATACCACCTCCACAAGTCACACAAACAACACTTGTTTTGTTATTTATTCATATAGATGAAGATAGGTTAGGTGCACAACATGTCATATGTCACAGAATGTCTCGGAACTCGGAACATAAATAAACAGAACAGCACGCCTGTGAAATATGTCATCTTTGTTTGTCTCGTACAGGTAACAGATTCATTGTCATTTATTAGCTCTAACGGATGTTGCCAAATGGTGAAATAGAAACGAATCCCTTTAAATGTTGAATGCATTATTTTAATTTCAGAAAGGGTTGTGGTTGGTTCTTATTTGCAAATAGCTAACTCATGTTTATATATTCTGATGGATACTGGCTAATGTAAGTTCTGGGTAAGTTATAACTTGCTGTGTCTTCAGATATTTGTTAGATGGTAAAGATTTAGTCAATCAATAAATTGATGGATGTTGCTATTACTACGTGGTTGGAAATCATCATGAGAAATGAGAAATGAAACTTTATGTGTTTTTTCATCTGTGAAACTGACGTTACTGCAGTTTCGTCTATAAGGACATTTCCAAACTGCTACTCGGGTCAGCGAAACATCAGGAAGAAGTTCCAAAAATCCACGGCCTTCAAACCCGGAAAATAGTTTTCATTGAGGATATCGTGAGAAACACAATCGAAAGCTTTTGAGAGGCCGAATCTTCTAGTTCACCGGAAAATTCTAATAGATATCTTCGAATTTGTAGGGCGGTATGAACTTTTCTTTCATAGTATTTATTCGACGAATTTCAATAGTTCACGGTGTCGAATGATTTGTTCCCAATACATATATTTGTTAATGTTGGATAATAGCTCCATTACAAATTCAGTTTAGGCCTCATTTAAGGAATTTGGCACGTAAATAACCGGATTGATTGCGGCAATTCTTCAAGGTTGGACAACTTTTATAACGCTCTATACGACAAACTTGCTGCCTGACTAACTAACCACCTTCACTTTCAATGGAACGAATCGAGAATATATCAGTTCTGTCGTTCGAAGGAAAAACAAGAGAATGTATCTCCTTCGAGCGAATAAAAACAATACGGCAACTGGACTACATAGTCATAAATCAAAAGTGTTTCATGGACGTTTGGAGTGATTTATTTCCTGAATTCACTTATTTTTTTTTATATATAGGTACCTATATCGCTATATAGATTCCCTTGGAGACAATGCGGTTCGGGATAGAAAAGCAGGAATAACTTCTTCGCAGGAAATTAAATTCACTCGTTTCAAGAATTGCGTTTATTGTAAGCTCTTTCAGAGGAAGGAAGCAGTATGTAGAAGTTTAAGAGCTTAAAAGCTTCGAAATAGGTGAAATTTAACAGTTGAAGATGTGAATAATACTGATTTCACTTGTATACTTAAACATTCTGAATGCTACGATCGACCGTAGACTGTTCCAACTCCATATCAAAGGGAAGTGTTTTTTAGGCTATGAATTTCAATTCCGGGGCGACTTCATTGATTCCAGTGGCGCGTTTGCTTTTTCAGCTGCAGGAAAACCCGGAAAAACCTGCAGCACCACATCATCTGAAGATCTTGATCTTGGTGCAATTGAATAGCAAAGTGGATTAGTCCATCAAGCGCTGTATGTTCGATCTTGCAAACTTGTTGACAGCTATCTACAGGCGTACCGCAGGGTTCTTCACTGGGTCTACTGCTATTTGCACTTTATACTTCAGACATCGAAAATGCAGTCAAATATCGAAACATAAACTCTTATGCTGACGCAATTACATCATTACAGGAAATATCGGTAATGAACTTGAGATAATAGATCAAGATATATCCAACTTAATTACTAGATTTTGAAGTCATTGTTTGAAGATAAACGCAGATAAAATACTATATTAGTTTTTGGTAGTAAATACCACAGAAATAAAAATAGAAAACGTAAAAATATACGTCAAAAGTCAAAAAATCTCACAGGTAAGATGCTTCCGCAATTTGGGATCTATTATTTTTACTCGTTTCACTATTATATCACCTTACGCTTAAAAATAATAACAGAAGGTCTGTGTATTATCAGGTATACAGACCGCCTGATCTTTGGCGATTTTCCAATGTATTATCAGTCAATCAACCAAATATGCTTTAATGTCAGAAGAAACAGTTCTTATCGACAAAGTCATTGTATAGGTAAAATAAGTTGAAATGTCAAAAACAGTAAAATGGTACTGATACAGGGTAAATAATAATAAAATGTGTATAAGTAAAATGAATGAGTAGGTAGCCAAATGATTTTAATATAAAAATCAATCACAATAAGGAGACCAGCGTATTTCAATGGCAACAAAAAGGTTCACTACCAAAAAATTACTCCATGTTGTAGAATGGATGAGTGAATAGTAGTTTTTTAACATGTTTTTCAAATTACCCTAATGATTCAATTTCCCTCAAGTTTAGTGGTAAGCAAATATACATTTTGTGATGATCGCGTGTTACGTCATGAGGGCACTGTAATATATTTGTTACGATTCTTGTATATTGAGCAAGTGGTTTCTAAAATAAAGATTGAAGTTACTGTGAGGATTCTATTATTTTTGAAAAGGTATCTGCAACGATCACGCATTTTTACTTCACAGAGAGCCCTCATATCTTTTTTTGTACAATTATCACCATATGTAAGAGTTGTTTGTTGCACACTCCCCAGAAGGCTATGCCATAGACTAGGTGGGCTTCGATAAAAGCAGCTGTAAAACCCAATTCATGTGAAATTATCCTAATGGCGTAACATCTAGATGAAATTATTACACAATTTCGTGACATGGTAGTAGAATTTTAATTTATCAGTTAAAATGCTTGAAATTTGAGGGAGGAAACTTTTTTAGTGTTTTTTGTCCCTTAGTTCAGGCCAGAAATCTCACAGCGGAGTGTTAATAGATTAGACTTAGTAGCATTGAAGACAAGCAAGTTATCGTCACAATATCTACTTGTATCTTGTGATGTAATAAATGTTCATCATCATATGCCAAAATAGGGTGGTATCATCGGCAAACAACGTATACTTTCCAGTTATATTGAGTTTTGTGACAACATTTATATAAAACTGGAACCGTATGGGACCAAGCACTGAACCCTTTGGCACACCGCATTGAGTTGCCTCCGTTCGAGAGAGATGATTAGTTTTCACCATTTGTGAGCGATTTTTTGGGTATGATTTGAATCA